TGTCACACTGAGCTTTCTTCCAACTCCCATGAGAGCACTTTGGAAACTCAATTAAACATGGATTAACACAGTGAACCATAAAGCCCTTGAACTTTTAATTAGACATTTCAAACTTTTGTTCGCCCAAAGAAGCCGTTGACTTGCCCAGAAATAGATTAATCCAGACAGTTTGATCTAAATAGAAGCATTTTCATTCTGACGAAACGACACAACAGAAATAAAGCAACTGTAATTAATCAAACAAGTCCAAACCCGACATCCTACCTCACTTAGTTTGTTGGACAACAGGTCTCCCAGCAGCAGTGTGTCAGAGGTGTGAGCCACAAGATATCGATCCTTCCCCATGACTTTCACTTCATCTATCTCATAACCATACTGAGACTTCAGCACCACTCGTGTGCCAGAGGACAAATTCTTCACAATCACCTAGGAGGGTTTAAGAAGCAAGGTTCTTTAGTTTGCAGGATGTGAACAAGATTAAAAACAACAGTCACTACTGAAATAAACGCAAACTGTGCACTTTAAAAATCTTAAAGTAATGCTCACCTGACTTAGTCCTACATATGTCATCTCAAATTTGTTCTTGTAAATACTCCTGCGGAGACAGCAGTCAAACATCTCGACACCACCACACAGTGTGCCCTGCAATTTACAGAAAGACATTTAATTACACATTACCTCCACAGCCCCTCAGTTGTCTCAAGTGGCAAAGCTGGACCTCAACATCATTGAGCCAATGTTTTGTGATCCTGCTTATGTCTTACCAAAATATAAGCATTGTGCAGACAAACTTATGAGCAGAACTGATTTGGGATATTTTCAGGATTAGTGATTAAATATAAACATTGGGCCAACACTTTTCACTTAATGCATTTTCACAGATCAGATTTGTTAAAACTGTTTAGTTTACACTTGCAAATGTGTCTCCAAAAGACGAAAATAAATCCGATCTACAATTCCCACGGTGTATGGAAATTCAATGTAGTTTTATTTAGCATCAGCTTATTTCAACACCAAAGATGTGTCAGCACTGGTGAGGGAATATAGTTTACCGCTCACCAATTTTAATAAATATTACTCTGTGCTAAGCTTTGATGGTGTCACACCGAACATTACATTTCATTTGAGGCAGTTTGCGCATCTGCTTGCTGAAGAAAGATACTTAACTTTTTATATCTGTGGCGATGTGTTGCAACAGCACAGTCATATTTGACAACCAGGAGCTGGTATAACGAGCACTCACACGTTTATTTTTTTTTTACCATTTTAGAAGGAGTCAAATTTACACGTGGGATCAACAACCAGATGCATTTACACTCAAACCGCCTCCTAAAGTGGTGATCGAATTTAAATCCGTCTCGAAAGAGCATTTACATCTGTTCTTTTCAAGAGTGGATAGCTATCCGATCAGAGAAGATGCATGAAGTGACGAATTGTAAAAAGGCGATCTTTAAGAAATTGTCCGTCCAGACTGACCACAGAAAGCCGAGAGCCGTCTTTTTCCAGGATAGAGCGGTGATGGTGTACAGGTTTGGAATTTCTTTGGGAGAACCTTCATCCCAGGCACCTTTTCGAGGACTCCAATTGAAAACTCGCAATCTAAAATAATATTAGATATGTCAAGACATTGACTGAATGTTTTTGTTTTTGATTTAATGTGTTCTCTCACCTGTCATAGCTTCCAACAACTATGGACTGGCCACTGGGGCTAGATGCTGCAACTGTGAATTCCTTTTCAGAGTGATCTCGGCTGTAGTCAAATGTCTGAAGCACGTGGCCCTCCTTCCCATAAGCCACGATCTTCTTGTCACATCCAGCCACAATTATGCTGTTGGTTCCCCATGCCAGGGCATAAGGTGGGCATGCATGAGTCAACAGTTTGCCCTTTCAACAATCAGAACAAATCAGTCATTAATTCGCTTGCAGATATGATATTTTAATTAACATCTGTATATTATGTTGTAAATACATTTCAATATAATAAAACAAAATTTTTACCTGAGATTCTCCAGAACCTTCATCGTCAAAAAGTATCGAACGACCGTTCCATCTGCATGACCCGAGAGGATTCCCTTCCCCGAGACACTGCAAGAATGGATCAATTGAGATACAGTGTTGTTAAAATTCTAAATTGATTTAAACTGAAATAAAAATAAATCTATATAGAAATGTTAAAAATGCACACAACCCAATTACTAAAACTTAAACTAAAATTACAACTTAAAATATAAAGGCTAATTAAATTGTGTAAATAGTATAATAGTATACACTGATAAAGCAAAACATTATGACCACACACAATAGTAAGTAATAGTAAAATTACACTAAACAAACCAGAAAAGGGTACTTGGACAAAGAAGCAAGCATCATAGGGTCAGGATTTTAAATAAGTATACATACTTTGTAGTTAGTGAGACAACATAAGAGTCTGTTCCGTATATCGTGGAGGACTTGCTTGTTTTTGTATTGGCTTGTCGAACCTGAATTTGACATTAAACATTCACAAAATAAATCCTCACAAAATAGGAAATTCAGCTTAAGTTGTAAAACAGAAAATGCACCACACACTTACTTTTCCCTCTGCAAGTCCAAATATTATTGCATGCTCTAACGGCCAAGCCAGACATGTTACAGCACTCTATAGAACAACAACAAAGTTAATGCGCACAATACATAACACTTCAGCCTAATGATGTATTTTATTTATCATCAGAATACTTACTGTTTGAATAAATTTGTTGCAAATAACCTTTTTATCTCCCCTGGGACAGAAAACATATAATAAGAAATTAAAAATAATTCAATAAAGCTTTTATATATATATATATATATATATATATATATATGAAGAGTTCAGATGCAAAAGCCTCTAAATGCCATTTGAAATTTTCTTCTAAAATGACCATTTTTATCAAGCTTGTATATTTAAGTTCAGTAATTTCACTTAAATGACAATTAATAGGTAATCTTCATTGCCATTTAAGTGAAATTACTGAACTTAAATATACAAGCTTGATAAAAATGATCATTTTAGAAGAAAATTTCAAATGGCACTTAAGAGGCTTTTGCATCTGAACTCTTCATATATATATATATATATATATATACACACACACACACACACACACACACATATTATTAGTGTATTATATTAGTATTATACTGAGACTACTTACCACTCCTCTCCAATTTTGTAAACAAATATGATGTTGTCAGTTTGAGCAACAGCTATCTTGGTTGAATCAGGGGAAAATGCCATGGACTTGACCACATAGGCTTTCTTTCCATACTGCAAAAAAATTAGTCATGACTTACAATACTTTTTCCTGCTGTACTAACATACGTATGGCACTGGCAGGATACAAAATTAATTTTGAATATTTACATTAAATAAGTTGCTGATAACTTACTTTGGGGTCTGCAGGCTTTGTGGTAAATCTGTCTCTTTTCTCTCCCTGCTCATCATACAATATAACCACTCTATCAATAGTGCACACTGCAAACTTTGCATTGTTTGAAGCCCAAGCCATACAGGTGACTTTAGCAGCTCCATCCTACAGAAAAGAAAAAACAATACAACACTACTTTCAAAACAGAGTCTTGGAGTCACTTCAGATTTAAATAATATTCGTTTAACATTCGGAATTGTTCGGATTTCGCATTTATTACTGTTTCTTTGCACAACTTAATGTTTTACTTGATATCAGGCAAGATACATATGCAGTGTTGCTAAGCTAAGAAGCGTTCTCATGCCTATGGTAAAGATAGCGGACTACTGAGAGCTAGTAAGCTAACATTAGCGTCCCTAAATAACATGGTAAAATGTTTTACCTGAGGGGTTAGAAGAGTCTTCAGGTACTTTAGCTGCATCCTTTGCATTTATACAAGACTCGGTTATAAGGACGTATTTCTTGATATAGCCATGTTTTGGGTAATAGTAGTCAGGCTGAAGACATTTTGGTAAACATAGCTTTCTCCCTGGTTACCGTCGCCAAGGAAAGAAGAACGTGGTATAACCAGAGCCCGTCTAACGGAGAGCCTTGGCACTTCCTATTTGCCTCACTGTGTATCATCTTGGTTGCAGTTCCATTAGAATTCCACTGAAGGTGATCGCGGGCGAGTGCAGAATGAATGGGAGTCTATGGGGCTCAACGGCTAAATGTGTCTCTTTCACCTGCTTGTCGTTAAATCAACATAGATTTTATTGTTGATTCCGCAAGTTCAATATATATAGGCCAAAAGTCGAATGAACGAGTACTTATGTCCTTTTGATTTCTTACAGGTTAGGCCATTGTTGGCCGGAATACGCTAGCATTCTGCTATTGTGTGACGTCATCATAGTTTTGAACGAATTTTTAGAACAGATAAGTGAACTTAAAAATGCAATTTTCAGCTGAGTGTATTATCTTAGCCCTCCCCTTTGAATGCAACTTTAAAATTACTTGGAAAAAAAAATTACATCCTGAGAAAAGTGGATTTCTGGGGGTTAAACCCCATTGACTCCTATTCATTGTGCACTCGACCGCGAGCGCCCCCGCATGGACAGAGACGTGTTACTGCAGCCAGTCCAGAAACCGACATTCTCTGGTATGACGCAATTGCGTACAATGAGATTAGACATGTTTGACTCTTTTAAAGCCGTTCTATTTAAAAAAAATATATAATAATAATATAAATCAATTAAATACTGTTTGATGACAGCTTTTACTAATCTTGAAAATAAAATACTGGAGATGCCGGGGATTGAACCCGGGGCCTCATACATGCAAAGCATGCGCTCTACCACTGAGCTACATCCCCTTCCTGTTTGAAACCCATGAGAAAAGGTAATTTAAAATGTGGAATCATTTATCATATACACCTTTATACGTACTGTACGTACATACATACAGCACACACACACACACACACACACACACACACACACACACACACACACACACACACATATATATATATATATATATATATATACACCATATATCATACAGGTATCATACAAATATCATATATAAGGTATCATACAAATAACTGCATCAGTTTTAATACAGACATTTATTAATCACACAAATAATTCCTCATTATAACATTATCATGACATTAAACTGTGGTCACATGCTGTAATAGCAATATCTAAAATTAACTACACAAATGTACTCTAGGTGACAGGTCAAACAAACACCATTGTGACTGGAAAATGACAGATGTGACATATAAAGACCCAGTTTAGATAGAACAAGCTGTACCTGAGATCCAAACTTACCGAAGCATGCTCAACGAGAAGAACCACCAAAACAGCTATGTGAAAAAAACAGATCAAATTATATCAGACATGCATACTCAGGTTTTTCAGAGCTTTGAGAGGATACTTCAGAATCTCTGGTTCATAAAATACATTTTTGAACTCATTCTTGGAGCAGTCTTTTACTTTTTTGAAGCCTTTGTTCGAGTTTTTATTCCACATTGCAAGAAAGACGTTGAGGGAGAGATAGTCTTGGTCACTGGAGCTGCAAATGGGATTGGAAAACTGATCGCCAAAGAACTTGGACACTATGGAGCAACATTAGTCTTATGGGATATCAACTCTGAGGCACTGGACAAAACAGCAAAAGAATTAAAGCAGGTATTAGATGTGCGAGTGTATAAAACAGGAAGTGTTTCTGGACCAGTGTTGTTTACATCTTGTGAAATGGTCTATACCTGTGACTGCAGCCGAAGAAGTGAGATCTACAAGGCTGCTGAACTGGTAAATAATTCATAATTTATGTATAACAGGTGTATTTTTAAGTTATAAAAATTTCAACAGGTTAAAAGGGAGGTTGGAGATGTGTCAATCTTGGTGAACAATGCAGGCATGGTAACAGGAAAATATACTTTTGTTGAAGCCCCTGACAGTCTGGTGGATAGAACACTAAGGGTCAATGTTGCTGCTCATTTCTGGGTAAAGAAAAATAATTCAGTGTTTTCTTCATGTTTTACATTCTTATAACCTTGGTTTTTATGTTATGGGAACAGTGAGCTTATCGTTATCTGAAATATTTGAATTCACAGACTTACAAGGCGTTTCTCCCAGCTATGTTGCAACGGAACCATGGGCACCTGGTCTGCGTGGCATCCCATGGAGGGTTGTTTGCAATGAATGGGCTTGCAGGTACATTTTAGAGAGATTTTAGAGATGTTGTACATCATTGTGCAACACTAAACTTTAGATATTGCACATTCATGATTCAGTGTTAAATTGAGGTGTGATTTAAAAATAGAATGGGATTTTCCAACATGTTTTGTCCACAGACTACTGCGCAAGCAAGTCTGCAGCAGTGAGCTTCGCAGAATCTATTGCACTGGAGCTGCTTGTCCTTAAAAAGGAAGGAATCAAAACAACAATAGTGTGTCCCTATCTAATAAATACCCAAATGTTTTGGGGATGTCAAACAAAGTAAGCGAATACAGTTTTCATTTATGAAACATTAATTTGAGATTTGTCTACTAGTGATACAGTAACATTGATATTTTAATTTTTTAAGGAGACCGTCTTTTCTTCCAGTCTTGGATCAGAGACATGCAGCAAAACAAATTGTGGATGTCATACTAAGGGAGAAGACGTACTTGCTGTTACCATCAAGTCTATTTCTTGATTTTAGGCCTCTAAATAAATACTTGTTATTGAAGATAAAAAATGTATCTCCATGCCATTCGCCAACCTTTAATAATTAAAAAAAACAAATAAATCAATAGCAAACAGTTAACAGAAATATAATAAATGTCTCAATAATTTTAATATTGCACAAAATGATTGGCAAGATTTAACTATACATCAACTTGACCCACCTATTCATGTTCTTGCAGTCTCATATACCTGCCAAACTGGGCATCATCTTTGTGAACTTCTTTGGTGGGATGGATCTGATGGATCACTTTAGAGGAGTTCCTGTGCCCATCAACAGTTACAAAAAGCCTCAGTGCCAACGAAATGACAGTGCCAGTGATCCACATGCCACTCTTGTCTATTACAACTAACAAAAATTTTCAAAACACTGTAAATCACCAGTGAGTAATATCAGTCTGCTCAAATGTACCAGTGAACAGAGTACAGAATTGTTAATAATGTTCCTTTTTTCTCTGTGGTCCATTTGTCTTCAAATATATATATATATATATATATATATATATATATATATATATATATATATTTTTTTGAGTGTGTGTGGGATTCCATGCTGTCAAAGCAAGCTTTCTATGGACTTCACAAACTGTGATGACAATGTTTCTATTACAGTAGCTATATGGGAGTGACAGTAAAGTTTACATCTTTCTCTCTTCTGACTGCATCTGTATCAATCTCTATATTCATTTTATTTCTAATAAACTCTCTATTCAGTTTATTTCTAATAAAATGTTTAATGTAGTCTCTCATTCACCGCTAGAAGTTTACCCAACTATGACAAATTCCACTTTTGAGAGATTCAGATTCAGATATAAAAACACATTATCATTTTTTAGTTATATTTTTGGGGGTAACCTGGATCCCCCAATTCCCTTACTACTGTTGAAATACTGTTACAAATGTATTTATTCCGTTTTTTTAATTCCCCGACCATGCCCAGATTGCCCACACCAGGTCAAATAAAGAAGGTAAAAGATTTTTTGAGAACAAAGTACAGCACTGGGTTACAACAGGCCTTCCCCCTCCCTTTGACGTCGTGCTGACGCGTAGTAGTTTTTCTCGTATAAAACCAACTGAAGTCCACGCGCTCGGCTCCACGCTGCTGTGACTGGAGCAGAGCGTGGACTACACTAATTGACCTGACCTCTTTTGGTTTTAACCTTTAAAGAAAACATCGTCACCAGCCAATGAGCGTCTTCTACATCAGGACAGCATGGTTTTTGGCCTAGACAGAGATATCTAAAATCGCATATATTTAACATTACTCCGCATCCGGGTGAACATCATCTTGAGCAGCGTGGTTTTCACGTGGGCATTTCGGCGAAAAGGAGAAAACATACGCATTACGCACCTCTGGGTAGCCACTTCGGTTCAAAAACTTTTAAGCGATAGATATTCGCTGAGATTCGTTTTTGCTTTTAGAAGAACTAGTAACACTCAGCCATGTCGGAGAAAAGTGCATCTCTAGTATTGGAGGACGGGACAGCATTTAAAGGCCGTCTGTTCGGTGCCGTATCCTCAGTGTCTGGTGAAGTTGGTAAGTGAAATCAAAGGAAATGTACTGGAAATATGTGTCCCGTCAGCCCTATTTTCTTGCCACTGCTCCTTATAATACACTTCTCCCTCCTGTCCTCTTACCGGAATGTGATTCATAAATAAGATGAGAAGGAAGTAAGTTACACGTGTCTGATTTCGCGCTTAACGTTTAAAGTGAACACTCCCCAGTAGCTACTTCCTAGGGCACGCTGGCGCCGCATCCCAGAAATGGTTTCTGGTTCAGTGGTAAATCGTTAGACAAAAGTTCGTGATCTTTTGTCTTGCCATATTATTTTTTTATGCCTACAGTAAGAATTCTGTAGTCACCATTAATTCAAATAAAATATTTTTTCAATAGAAAAGCTATATTGTTTAAAAAGCACCTCCAGTTTAGATAAGGGTCAGGGCTCAACAAAGGCCCCATTACAAAAATGTTTTACGTTTTATTTGATTTTTAGCAACACTTTTTCTATGTGATTTTAAAAAGTAAAGGAACAAAGAAAGAACAAGTAGGTGCTGGAGGTGTGTCCAAAAATGTTTTTCCTTTGAAGGCCAAGACCAATTAAATGCAAACACATACAGGTCAGAGCAGAGGTCTGACTTGTTTTTGCTCATGGATTTTTGTGGTATTACTGATAACCTGCCCCCAACGAGTAGTCATACTAGGATAGTCATGATGTTAGAATTTCATAACCTGTCAAATTTCACTGTTTTTGATACAATTACATAGCACCACATTAATTGATATTCTAGTAGCCCTCATTCGGGTCATGGGGTCTATATGACCCCAATCGACTTTTTAATAAAAAAAAAAAGGTTCCCTTCATCTCAGTGGAATAAGATATTGTGACTTTTCATACATTATCTATCTATACACGCACAAAAACTGGGGTTGATTCGGTTGTTCTGAAGGTATGTAAAAAAAAAAAAATGATTACACTTCTGGTCTTCAGGGCCAATATGACCCCACATTGAAATGAATTGCAAATGTGAAAAAAACTAAATATATTTTCTTCATGTGTCAAAAAAAAAAAAAAAAACTGCCATAAATATGAAAATTTACACACAGAAATGAAGGCCTAGTATTAGAGCATAAATGCAATGTATCATTAAAAAAAAAAAATATTTCATATGCAAGCTAATGGTGTAGAGGAATTGTGTGGTATATGGATACAAAAGTACTTTATATCTCCAAAAACACAGCATTAATGAATAGATGAAAGGTAAACAAAAAATATATGTATTATTTGTATGATTAAAAAATGTATAGTTTTTTTTCAATTACTTAATCAATTGTTGGGATTATATAGACCCCAAAGCCCAGTAGTGTAAACAGGAAACGAAGACTATTTGAAGGTTAAGAAGGTTAAGAAGGTTTGACTTAAAAAGTCAAAACAATGCTATGTTACCAGATATATATATATATATATATATATATATACACACACACACACACACACACACGCATATATACATTGATGTCCCTTTTGATATCCCTATGTCATACATTGTGTATCCTCAGTTTTCCAGACAGGAATGGTGGGTTACCCAGAGGCTCTCACAGATCCCTCTTACAAGTCTCAAATACTTACTCTGACGTACCCGTTGATTGGCAATTATGGTGTTCCTGAAGATGAGGATGGAGAGTTTGGACTGAGCAAGGTTTTTTTACTCTCTTGTATCCACATAGTCTTCTTAATAGTACATAATTCTTCTAAAACAGATTATTATAATACTACTGGTATGGTTTGTTCTAAATATTCCTTTTTTTGTGGTCTAGTGGTTTGAATCTTCCAGAATCCATGCCGCTGCTCTCATTGTTGGGGAGGTGTCAAAGAATCCCAGTCACTGGAGCTCCGCCAAGTCTCTGGATAAGTGGCTGCAAGAGCAAGGCATCCCTGGACTCGAAGGTCAGTCAGTGCAGGCATCCTTGCTTTGCTTTTTACTTATACAAAGTAAAGCAAGTAATTTGGTTTAGATTTTAGCATTAATCTGATGCAAATCTTCCTGTAAAATTAGGGGTTGACACTCGAAGCTTGACCAAAAAGATCAGAGAAAAGGGAACCATGTTGGGGAAACTTGTGGTGGAAGGAACTTCAGACCACAACATTCCGTTTGACAATCCGGACACCCGCAACCTTGTTAAAGAAGTTTCCATGAAAGTAGGTGGCTAGCTTTGATAATGTTTTCAGATCAATCTTAATGTGTTTTCATTTTGTTTAAAGACATTTTATTTCTGGTGTTGTTTATGCTAACAGGAACCAAAAGTTTTTAATCCAGAGGGAACAGTGAGAATCACTGCCATAGACTGTGGCATAAAATACAACCAGATCCGTTGCTTGTGCCAGAGAGGTGCCCGGGTCACCGTTGTCCCCTGGGATCATCATCTAGACTGCAATGGTGAGCCATGATGCTGTTCTCCACATTGATATGTTGAAATACAATTTAACATGATTATTGTTGGGCGATATGATCGAAGTCTTAATCCATTATATGAGTAATGTTATACATCCGAAAAATGACCAATAGTCTACTTATGCTACTAATGTAGCGAAGTACAAGATCCTTGTTACAGAAGACAAGTAAACAGACAGAAATACAATAAAAAAAAAAGAAACTAATACAGAAAATGAATAAATTAATCAAATGGAAGATAACACTGCAAAGTCTTCACTAAATACATTAAATATAGATCTTTGTTAAAGTTTTAAAAGTTATTCATTCAAGACCAGTGAGTGATTTTATCTGTGCCTTTTGTTGTTTGATTAACATTGAGACAGACTGAAGCAGTAATATTAGGCTTTTGTCACTTTAAGTGTGAATCCATGGATCCAATATACTGTTACACATGCAGTTTCTTTCTCAACTGTTTACATTCACGTAAGACAATTTTTACTAAAATCACATTTTGGTATGTATGCTATTTGACCATTTAGGTGGCTTCATGTGCTTTTCATGAAACGGTTTAATATCAGTAACGTTCCGAAGTTGAACAACTGTATACTGCTTTTTACTATTCTATTTATAATATTTTTACGCACAGCTGAATGTGGCAGCAGCATAATAATCACTTTACCTCGATTACCTTTTTCATAATTGTTGGACGGCAAAATAAAAATCAATTGTGATTACTTGCACAGCCCTAGGAAAGATGTGTTTTGTTCTATACATTTTAACGATAGTGTCGTCTGCTATTTTAGGAGAATGAAAATGTTATCACTTTGGTATTGCTTCTGTTTCTCTCTAGACTTTGATGGGTTGTTCATCAGCAATGGCCCTGGCAATCCAGAGTACTGTAAGGAGACGGTAGAGAACGTACGGAAGGTGGTATGTGTGGAGAGTCCCAAACCTGTCTTTGGGATTTGTCTGGGCCATCAGCTGCTGTCTTTGGTCATTGGTGCAAAAACGTATAAAATGAAGTAAGCAATCCATTCATCTTTTTTCACTTTCCGCTATTAATGCACGTTTCTTATTAAAGGGATAGTTCACTCAACTAAAATTCTGTTATTTACTCACTTGTATCATTCCAAACCTGCATGCATTGTTATTCTTTGGAACAATATTTTGAAGAACATTGGGAACCAAACAACATTGGAGCCCATTTGACTTTCCATTGTATGGACAAAAAAAAAATCTTCATGTTCCACTGATGAAAGAAAGTCATGCAGTTTTGTAATGACATGAGTGTGAATAATGGCTAAAAAATGTAATGTTATCTCATTAATAGACATTTTATCCTTGCATGTATTAAAGTAATATAATTATTTAAGTGCATTTTAATGCCGTTTTAACACTTCCATCTACAGGGAAATTTTATAAAAAAGATTTTTAGAAAATTATTCTTTTAAAAGTATAATGCTCTTATGTTCAAACTTATTGTAGTTCACCAAAGATGGTTATAGAAAAAAAAATATAGGATTTTTGCAGTTTAACTGAACCAGACAGCATCACGCTATGGTCAGTGGATTGCGGTGTTTGCAGAGGAACAAAAGACTGGTTCTTTGGCCTTTTCCATGCCATTCCAATTTTCATGAAAAACCAACATGGTGTGAAATCTAGTTTATGCTGAGCTCAGCCGTCTAGACGGGAGCCACTGCGTTACTCCTGGGATAAGCGTCATTGTTTTTCTAAGAGTCCTGGGATAGTTGTTTTGTTTGCATGTGCTCAAGGCTGTGATGCCAGTCTCGGGCATTCTTTCATGCCCTTTTCCAAAAGCGGATTGTCAGCAGGCTCATTCAGAGGTGGTTTATGTCTGTCAAGTAATGCATCTTCTTATTGTGAATCTTAAAAGCTACAACTTCGTTCATGGTCCCTATGTATTTAAGGTATGGTAATCGTGGCCATAACCAGCCCTGCATCCATAAAGGAACAAATCGCTGTTTCATCACGTCTCAGAATCATGGGTTTGCTGTGGATCCCCAAACTCTCCCAGAAGACTGGGATGTGCTCTTCACCAACGCCAATGACCAAACCAGTGAGGGAATTGTTCATAACCACAAACCACTCTTCAGGTTTGCTTTCATTTCTCATTTGTGTGCATTGTTTGTTTATATTTACATTACCCATTTTACTGTATTCATGTATAAAGTTGATATATTTATATCTATTCTTGATATAATTTTCAGTGTCCAGTTCCATCCTGAACACATGGCGGGTCCCACAGACCTTATTAGTCTCTTTGATGTGTTTCTGGATGCAGTCAAAGATGCAAAAGATGGCAAAGCTGGAAAATCAGGTGATCTGTTATGATGTATGCCTGTAAAGCTATCATGATTATTGTAGGGTTGTTTGCACACTTGTTTGATACTTCTGCAAATGTTCCTATAGTAGATATAGGAACATTTGCAGAAGTGACAAATTACTCTAACTAATATTTTATACAGTTAAGCAAAGGCTAACAGAGCACCTCACTTACCCTGGATCTCCTGACCCGGAAGCGTTTGTTCGGCCTCGTAAAGTTCTGGTTCTTGGTTCAGGAGGGCTTTCCATTGGACAGGCTGGAGAGTTTGACTATTCTGGGTCTCAAGTGAGTATTAAACAAAAAAAAACCTTGAGACTGTGTGGATTGCAAATTAAGGAGTGCATCTCACAAGCCAGCTGTTTATTATTGTTTTCTCAGTTTCCTTCATTAATTTGAAACTTGCTTTTTTTTTTTTCAGGCTATAAAAGCTCTAAAAGAGGAAAACATCCAAACCATTCTTATAAACCCAAACATTGCCACAGTACAAACCTCAAAGGGCCTGGCAGACAAAGTCTACTTCCTCCCGATCACACCAGAATATGTCACGCAGGTAGGAGAGAGCTGTCCATCCCTGATTAACTCTCTAGGCATTCTTTTCATGACAGATTTTGAAAACTGAAATGATGCTTTTAACACAAAGTTTAGGTTTGACTTAAGAGCTTAAAAAATGAGCTCAACCCTCCATCCTTCTACCCCTCAAATAGGTGATAAAGAACGAGCGTCCAGATGGAGTGTTGCTCACATTCGGAGGTCAGACGGCCTTGAACTGTGGTGTGGAGCTCACCAAGCAAGGAGTGCTGGAACAATATAAAGTGCGTGTGCTTGGAACCCAAGTAGCCTCCATAGAGATGACTGAAGACAGGAAGATCTTTGTGGAGAAGATGGAGGAAATCAATGAGCATGTTGCCCCCAGTGAAGCGGCCATGTCTGTTGAACAGGTTAGCTCATTAATCTACTGAAAATTAGGGAATCTCATAATGTTTTTATACTCTAGGACTTCCAGTTATGATGATTCATTTGCAAAAGACCATCTTCCTAAAATACAAAGCCTTATAAAATATTGTCATGTATAGAGACCAATTTGTGTTTTAGGAAATATGGTATTATTGAAGGCAACATACTTTTACCAATACTAAATAATTTGCTTTTTATTTGTCTTTTTACTAAGGCACTAAGGATTATATATATATATATATATATATATATATATATATATATATATATATATATTAGTTGTTTTAAATGTTTATATACAAATGTTTATGTGTCTTCCAATTATTATTATTATTATTATTATTTATTTTTTTTAGAAAATTGTCATTTGACAATACATTTTAAATACATAATTATATTATATCCATATTGTGCTTTTAGTAGTTTTAAAATGGTTAGTAAAATTTTCTTATTGCATGCTTGTCTAACTTTTTTTGTGTTTCCGACAGGCAGTGGCTGCTGCTGAAAGACTCTCCTATCCTGTTCTGGTCCGTTCTGCGTTTGCCCTGGGTGGACTGGGTTCAGGCTTTGCCAATAACAGAGATGAAATGATCACGTTAGTTACCCAGGCCTTTGCTCACACATCACAAGTCCTGGTTGACAAATCGCTTAAAGGCTGGAAGGAAATTGAGTATGAAGTGGTGCGGGACGCCTATGACAATTGTGTTACGGTACGAAGCTCCTAGAGCTGTGGTTTCCCTTTTATTCTGACATTTAGACTTTTACTTGAATCCAAAATGATTTACAATGCCTTCACATTTTACCAGTATATATGGTCCCTTGTTTTCTTTTCTAAATTGATATCTTTTCATTTAGGTATGCAACATGGAGAATGTCGATCCTCTAGGAATTCACACCGGGGAGTCAATAGTGGTGGCTCCTAGTCAGACACTGAACGACTATGAATATAATATGCTGAGAAACACGGCCATCAAAGTTGTTCGCCACTTGGGCATTGTGGGAGAGTGCAACATTCAGTATGCCCTAAATCCTGAATCCGAGCAGGTAATTCAGTCACTTACAAGTTACATCATCCAGGAATAATGGATTTTAGGAAGTTGTGGTCAACCCATAATCTCATACTTGTCTTGGCAGTACTACATCATTGAAGTCAACGCTCGTCTCTCACGAAGCTCTGCATTGGCCAGTAAAGCCACCGGTTACCCTCTGGCCTACGTGGCTGCTAAACTCGGCTTGGGAATCCCTCTGCCTGTGCTCAAGTGAGTTCTTTCCTTAAAATGAGCTATTAAACTAAATGTAATTGTACATTTGAGTATTGTTATTTTTAAAGTTGCTTAAAAGTGACTGTTTTCCAGGAATTCGGTGACTAATTCCACTACAGCAAACTTTGAGCCTAGTCTGGATTACTGTGTAGTGAAGGTTCCTCGTTGGGATTTGAGCAAGTTCTCTAGAGTCAGCACTACAATTGGCAGTTCCATGAAGAGCGTTGGTGAGCATCATACATGGAAATAAATGGCAGCTGAGATCTGTATATTATAATTCTCAATATAGTGTTTTTGAAAACTAATTAGTTAAAATTATTTTTTGTTCATTTCAATAAAGCTGTAATAAAAGATGCTAGATAGAAAACTTTTTTTTTCTAATACATAAATTAGAACTGTTGCC